GCACCGATCGAAGTGATGCCTTAGTCCTTTAACCCTCATCCTCTTAAAGGAGGAGCAGGTCGCGCTGAGACTTTTTCCCTCAAAGGGATAGAGGTCTTGGGGTCGTGGTGCGTGCACCGGTATCCCCCTCTCGCTGAGGCCAAAGACTAGAAGAAAAGAGAAATCCATTTCAATGCCATTTCCAAGTCCATTTCAAGTTGCCTAGGGTCCCCTGTTTATGCAATGCAATTTCCAATACTCAATCCAATTCCAATGCTCAGTCTCATTCCGATGCTCAATCTCAGTCCAATGCTTGATGCGATTATCTCTTCCAAGGCTGAGTCCAGTGTCCTTTCCAAGGCTGAGTCCAATATCCTTTTCAAGGCTGAGTCCAATCTCTTTTCCAAGCTCAGTCTTTCCAATGTCCTTTTTCCAAGGCTCGACTCTTTTAATATCATGCGTCTCAAGCAGCCATGCAAGGGGACCCTAGTGCCAATTCCAAAGAATGACCCTTGTCAGGGGCCATTCCGAACAACCTGGTTAGGATCGTTCTTCTTTTCCAATCTCGAGCTTTGAATAACATGGTTAGGACCATTCCTATTTCCATTCCATGCCCATACTTGAATAGCCTGGTTAGGGTCATTCCCATTTCCATTCTCTTCTCAATACAAGCGCCCGAGGGGGTGGGCTGAGGGAGGCTCGGATCCGATTGTCAGTTGGGGGGGGGGTAGGTGGTGGCCATTAGTTTTAGCGTGCTATGCGTTTTCTTGCTCCACTTTTCTTTAGCTTTCTCATACATCCGACTTAGCATCTAGCTCGCGGCGGGATTCACCCAGCCTCTAGCAATGCTAGCCCGCCTGGTCGTTCAACCATAGCTGCAGGTCTCATGCATATTGATGTTGAGGACTGGACTCCGTCGGATTAGGCTCCTAGGGGAAAGCACTGTCGTGTCGTTCTACCCGTAGGTTCCCTAACCTCTCTTAACAGGACACCATCGTCATTCACACATGTGACCGTACATTCTAAGAGACTCATTGTGTCTGTAGCCAAGCCCAAGTCCTTCCAATCCAACCAGTATCACAATTTGTTGAGAAGAGAGAAACCGAATTACAGATTGTTTAATTAGCAAAGAGAGAACCCCCTTATGTTCGAATTCCCCAATCACACTCTCCTTCGTCTTTGCCAAACTCGTAAAAGGTAGCTGATACTCAAAAAGTTGTTTCTCCCTGCATCTCCCAGCTTGCCCTCATGTCTTTTGGCAAGTTTCAGGTCAGCAGGCATCGTTTCACACAAAGTCCCACATCCTTGCCTTGACTAACTCTGTTTCTAGGAAGCCACTTAACAAAATACAGCCCCCGCCTTTCTCCCCGATTGGTTTGCCGAGTCCCAGCGCCCCTATTTTACATCCAACCGTGCCATCCAACCCCAGTTTGCCAACCCTTAATTCCCAGTATCCTGGTCCGTTCTTTGGCGCTTAGCGCCCCTGCCCTCCTCTGTCTTTGGTGGCGGCGCCACCCCCAGCCCGTAGGTCCGTATCTCGTCCAATGTTGCC